TTAAAATGATACATTCTCTCAGTTTAAACTTTTGATCTGTGATTTGTTCTATTCTGAATAAAATATTAGATGTTGGCACCTCCACATCATTGCATTCAGTTTTTATTCATAATTTGTTTAGTGTCCCAACTTTTTTGGAATCCGGTTTGTATTTTTCCGAGCTGCACATGAAAACCCTATTTACCACCATGAAAATATAATCTGAAAACACCTTGGGGTTTGCAATTCCGTATGACCTGTTTTAAGAAAAATAAAAATAATTTAAAAAGTGTATTTAAAAAAACTGATTTCATACAGTTAGCTCTGCTGGAAACATGGAAATGCTCCTGTATTGTCTTCCATGGGCTTGAACTTTAAGCGTTGCAACAATTATATGTGAAGGGGATGTGTCCCCCTCACATTTAAAAAAATATTCATATTTCATAACCCCCCCCCCCCACACACACACACACACACACACACACATTTATCATGAACTATTAGTTCACCCAGCGCTGTATCTATTTCTTCATGAACAAATCCATTCCACTTGATTAACAGGAGAATACTCAAACCACTAAATGTCCACTCCGGGTTTTCCTGGTTACCTACAACAACTCACCACATGCAGCGATTCCCCTAGATCGCTTGACAGGGCAGGGGGAGGAGGGGGAGACACCTCTGTGTTGCATGCTAGCTTAGTGCCATGTTACTGCTGGCAGTTGTTGACTGTGTGTGTGTGTGTGTGTGTGTGTGTGTGTGTGTGTGTGTGTGTGTGTGTGTGTGGGGGGGGGGGGGGAGTATGCGTGAGAGAGAGAAGTGGAGCACTATGTCTGTAGCATCTTAGCTAGCACATCTTTATTGAGCGCTGCTAGCTTAGCGCTACGTTAGTTCCGGCAGATGTCAACCAGGGTGGGTGGGTTAGGATGTGTGAGAGAAGCGGAGTGTGCTCTATTCAATCAAGGAGAGCTGTTGGTCAGGTTACTTCTTGTTGTACCATGCTCTCTAAAATAGTTATTGATTGAATCAAGTGTTTACTTATGTAGGTAAACGAAGATGTTTAACAACCGTTAAAATACAGCAGAATGCAGGAAATGGCATCTACTTTATTAAAAAATTTCTGGGGGAGGACCCCCACACCTCAACATTACAAACATCTGAAATTTTGACACCAAGAGAATTAGGGATCAGGATCAGCTACTTACACACCAAGTTTTGTGCCTGAATCTATAAATGTGACATAGTTTTGGTGGCGGGTAACAAAAACGATGAGAGAGAAGGAAAAGCTAAGACTTTAGAAAAACAGAAAGAATAGTGAGCAGTGCCCACACCTCAGAGAAGAACGCATGACTTGGGAGGCCGGAATGGGTTATCGCTGGAGGGAACCCCCGTCAGGAGTGGATCTTTGTGAGCATTCTGCAAACAAAACGTCTTCAGTTCAGCTGCAGCCTGAGAAACCTGGAAACATTCAGAAAACGGGAGAATTCAGCATCTGTCTTGTTGCTTTGCAAGACTTTGTTTTTCTATGACTTCAGCTTCAGCCGCTTTTATATGTAAACTTTCAGCTCACTCGAGAGGTTACTTTGTTATAATATAATGTTAGAATTGGGCCACTGAGTCTGTTTATTGATCAACAGCAAGTTGATCAATTTATTAACCCTTTGATTACCAGAGCTCAACCATTGAAGTGGGAGTAGAATAGAAGAAAACACCCAAATAACTCTAATTCTGTCAATTTTACAAACCTCAAATTTGATATGGTAGTAGCTGAGAGTCATTCACAACAAATCATCCAACAGCCACTCTGTTCATCTTTAGCCTTAACTGCAGGAGTCAACCAAACATCACTCGGCATTCTCTGAGGACGGCGTCTCATGATGTTGCCATTAACATTTTTGATGTTTTTTAGGTTAGACCAAACGACATTTCTCAACATAAAAAAATCTTAAAATGGTCATAAAAGGCCGTGAACAAATTTATTTTTCAATCACGAGGGCTAGGTCTTGAAATTGTATCTGCTTTTATTACTTACTAATGATAAACTCTAACTCCCTGCATTTTGATTAAAGCATGGTTTGATTTATGGCTTATGAAAGAAACAAAAGTAACACGACAAATAATTTAAATCTACTGTGCTCATCTGTGAATCTGAAAAAAAAAAAAAAGTCGTTACTGTTGTGGTTTTTACTTTTTCCACTGTTACGCAGCATTCATGAATATTACATCATCACTTTCCTATTTTTATTCATGCTTTTTGTAGCCACCAACAATCGGACCATTTGTCAATTTATATGTATTTTAAGTATGTTTACTTCTAGTTGTCTTCATAAAGGAACAGCTGTGTCTCGTTTAAAACTTGAAACTTTAGGGATGACAATAAATCAACAGGCTGCTGTCCATTTCAGTTTGATTATGTTAACCTAACTTTAGAAAACTGAGTCTCCTGTATCGTTTTGCTGTTTAAACTGTGACTAAAAACTTTAGATCGAAAGGAAATCAATTCGTTTTTACTCTGGGATCACCAACCCCACCAGAAAAATATAATCCATTCTAAAATAAGTCTCAACAGAACAATCAGGCAGTCAAGCAGCCAACAAAGATATCTCTGTGCTGCAGCTGGAGGGCAGTTCCAGGAAATAATACTGAGGAAATACCAACAGACAAATAAAAATAAATAAATAAAATAAAGTGATGTTTTTGCATAAATTAAATGGTCTAGCATCCTCTGAAGGAAGGCAATTAGCCTTTTAAACAGTGTTTAAATATCTTATAGAAGTGCTGGAATTATAGACACTTTTGGTCAAACTCTAAAAATGATGTCATGTTGTGAGACCTGTTGAAGATGACTCTCAGCTACTACCACATCGACTTTTCGTTATAAATATGTATGCAAAACATACGGTCTTATAGTTTATGGACTGGCTAATGTTGATTAAGCATTAAACTTTATATGTGACTTAAACAGAATGTTGAGTAAAATATTCTAAATAAAAATGTGTAATTTAACTTGTAATCAGAGCATTACATCCCAGCTGAACTGAAACATGAAAAATAAAAGAAGATGGAAGAATTATAGTTAGATTAAAGAGACGTTAAGAGCTCCCACCTTGATCCGGCGGACGCTGGCCTCCAGGCGCAGCTGCTTCACTGTCTTCTGAGCCATGATCAAACTGCTGCAGGTCGACATGACTGCTCCACAACCTCCTACACACTGAACCTGCCTTGTTTTACTTGTCTCGTCTAGCATTAAGCCCCGCCTCTTTGTCGTTGTTTCCGTTCTCTCATTGGGTAAAAGATGTGATTGACATGATAGGCCACCTATGAGCAGAGGAGTGCTTCCTAGCCAGAGAGATGAACTCAAAGGTAAGAAATTAAACTCTTTTTAGGAAGTTGTTTCAATTTAAGAAGAAGGTAAACGAAAGAGGTTTTTTCCTATTAAACTTTTTTTTTACACAGTTATAACAAGAGTTATAAAAGCTTCATGATAAAGAAAAATAAGAACGGACGACCCCAGATCACACTGAAAATACCTGGAAACATTTTCTCTTCTGTTCTGTGGTGTGAACAGGGATAAGAACAAACAAAATCATTGTCACTCCATTTGCAGCTGGAGTACCTGAGAAACAGAAGAATTTTCTCCAAACGCAACATCCCGGTACATTTTAAACCCAACAGGACCCTCAGACTCTGGTCCATCCCAAGGACAGAACCCCAAACTGAGCCGTGTGGTGTGTACAGTTCAGCGCAGAGAGGAATGTTCAGACCTCCAGATTGGAAAAACTAAACCTCTCCACAGACTCATGGCTCAACACCAGAGAGCAGCGCTGCAATACTCAGCGAATAAGAGACACTCTTTTGAGGACCAACAGGTTTATATTTTGGACAGAGAAGGCAGATGGTTTGAACCAGTATTAAACAGAGGAGGAGGCCTCAGATTTCAACTTTCAAAAACCTACAATGCAGCGTTAGGCCTCATTCCCTGTCAGCTTCACACTACTGTAACTCACCCCATCATGTATGTGAACTGAACATCTTTCTGGTGAGCCAGAGGCATGTTGTTTTCATGTTATCTGCATGTGAATCCAATTGCAGTACATAACAAAGCCTCACAAGAAGCAGTGTTGTAGTCAAGACCACCCAACCCAAGACCAAGTCAAGACCAAGACCAGAGTGTACCAAGACTGAGACAAGACCAAGACTTTTGGGGTCCGAGACCAAGTCAAGACCAAGACCTCAAGTCTTGGAGCTCAATCTTTTCACAAATTATGTGTCTTATACTGTCATGACATAGTGACAGTTTTAACAAATATGTAAAAAAAAAAAAAGTAACTTTTATAAAAATATTTTTTATAAAAGTTACATACTGCAACTTTAAGTTTTCTTTTGAATGAATGTATCAGCTTTTATAAAATTTCAAATCTACATAACAAAGAAATCATTCATTGGTTTTTGCACAGTAATTTTCATGTCATGTGACCTACTGACACAAAACTTATGTTAAACTTCTCGACTAGACCTGACAGACGAGGCACCTCATTTATTTCTCATTTTAAAGCATTTTCTAATTTTACATAATTTATTTGTTCAAAAATCATGGTTTTTGCTCAAAAACTAATTATAAAATGCTTTAAAAAGAGAAATAAATTATGTTGTGTCGTGTGTCAGGTCTATTAGGATAGTTTTACATTAGTTTTGTGTCAGTGGGTCAAATGATGTAAAAGATATTAATTTATGTTTCTGAAGAGTGTTTGGTTTGGTAATTTGTTGACGGTCCCTAAGCAACGCATTACGACTCGGAAGAGGGGCAGACTGAGCTCAGCTGACCGAAATCAGACTGCCTGCTTCGGATCAAACGGGAGGAACACACCGCTGAAGCACGGAGCTCGAATGTCCTACGTAAAACTAACTTCACCGTGGTCGAGTTGAGGCTCCAGCATGAACAGTTCAGAAACAATTTGCAATGAGAAGAAAAAGCTATTTATTAACAGATTAAGTCGTGTTTTAGAGAATCTATTCTGACCCAAAGTGCAGCAGTGACTGGTTCTGAATGAGACTTTACAGCAGACAGACGCTCCCCTCTCTCCCAGGTACTGAGTACTGGTGCAGAATCTGTTAGTGGTACGCAGTACTGGACCATACCGGCTTACTTTCACCCTGGTTGTGACGTTACATTCTGTTGTCTGTATTGTTCTGTTGGTACAGAACCACGTGCAGTGAAAGGGGGTGGGCGTGACAGCTGTAACAAAAACGTATTTTGCAATGAGTCACGTTATCACTTGGATTTGAATCAGCACATTTTGCATCCAATAAAAACAAAGATGTTAACAAATAAACTGGACAATATTCTGGCAAGTTAGTGATATTTCCACAGTTGTGGTCTTGACTGGTCTTGAACTAAAATCCCAAGTCCTCAATGTCCGAGACCGAGACAAGACCATCAAAAAGTGGTCTCAAGACTAAGATTGGTCTCGAGTACTACAACACTAACAAGTCATAAAACGATGGGAACTCCACACACTCCAGATGTTTCCTGAATTGATAAAGCCCTTTATGGAGTGAAATATCTTCAACTAGAAGTCCAGATGTTTTAGTTTTTGACTTTATTTTTCATGTAAATTGGGAGAGATTAAAAGTTTTTCCAGTTTTCTTCTGAGGAACATTCTAAAATTATTTCACTGTTTTTAGATGCAGATTTTTGCAGATTGATAAACCCCTGCCCATTTTTACTTCTGAGAAATACAGTCTAAATAAAAAAGTCTTTTTATACCCTGTCCTCTTACTGACCTGTCTCCCAAAAAACAAAGTTACAAAAATCTCCTCCAGCTGTTTCTTATTCATACCAGTTACCCATCCCTAATTTATATATACAAACCGGATTCCAAAAAAGTTGGGACACTAAACAAATTGTGAATAAAAACTGAATGCAATGATGCGGAGGTGCCAACATCTAATACTTTATTCAGAATAGAACACAAATCACAGATCAAAAGTTTAAACTGAGAGAATGGATCATTTTAAGGGAAAAATCTGTTGTTTCCAAATTTCATGGCGTCAACAAATCCCAAAAAAGTTGGGACAAATCCATTTTTACCACTGTGTGGCATCCCCCCTTCTTCTTACAACACTCAACAGATGTCTGGGGACAGAGGAGACCAGTTTCTCGAGTTTAGAAATAGGAATGCTCTCCCATTCATGTCTAATACAGGCCTCTAACTGTTCAATCATCTTGGGCCTTCTTTGTCACACCTTCCTCTTATGATGCGCCAAATGTTCTCTATAGGTGAAAGATCTGGACTGCAG